GCTTTATTAACCAGGAGCTCCAGCCTTTCCCAATATAACTCAGAAGTGCCCAGTTCCTAACGAGCTCACTAGTGGTGCTAGGCCCTAAAATTCTGTGTTATGAATAGAATAGTGTCCCCAAAAAATATAAGCCTCTATGTCTGTGGTTATATATCCATATGGGACTAGGCTCTCTTTGTTATATGAATGAGACAGAACTAATGTAGAATGCAACTTCAGTTGCTCTCTTTTGAGATATAAAAAAAGACTAACCGAGAAAGAGAAAATAATAGTGATGGGGGAAGAGAGATGTCAAGCCACATGAAGACCACCCAAGAGAAAACGCTCAAAGAAACAAGGATCTTCCTCCAGGGTCAATGGAGAGACAAAGCCTTCCCCGCCCCCAAGCTAGCACCCTGAATGCAGGCTTTTAGCCTCCCAAACAGTGAGAAAGCAAATTGCTGCTTGTTAAAGCCACCCTCTTATGGTATTGCAGCTACAGTAGCGCTTAATAACTAAGAGAGGCAGCTGAAGACTTACTCCCCAAGTACACTTTAATACAGCCAACCCAGTCCTTCACAGAAAGCCAGATTTTTCTTTTTAAAGAACTACCCTAAGGGCACGGACACACTGACCTCTAGTTAAAGCTTAACGCGAGAACATGCATTGTGATCATCGACTGAATCTCAGAGAAGTTTGAAGGGGGTTTTTTTTAACCACAAAAAGACTGCTAAAAAGTGAAATTAAGAGAGTACTTCTTAGTATTTCTTCTTGTCTAATTAATGTAAACCAACTAAGTGCAGGACCTGATCTTAGCATTTACAGGCCAATGGAATATAAAAACAGTTTAAAACAGTACCTTCTCGTAGTTCAGCTGGATGCCAAGAGCAAGAATCAGATATTTGTAGGAGATCTGCAACATAAGACAACGCTATTTTAGACCAGGAACCAAGAACTAGCAGCCCAGAGGCTAATTCGGGCCCCAGACATGGGTGACCAGCACATGTTTCATTTTTCTAATGTGGGCGACTAGGGTAGTGGGCAGGCAGAAAGGTGGGGAGCACCCTCTGGCCTGCAATTGTACACACCATGCTCTATCGTCTCACCCCTCATTCCAATTGGAACTTTTCTCCAAAAAGGCAAACCAAATATCATGTTCTCTGTTATTTGAGCTGCATGAATCATGGCACTATGACTCAAACTATCTCACAGCCTTCACTCCAATTCATGGCTTCTCTGAATCCAATTCATGGCTTCTCTGAACCTTCCCAGAACACATCCCCGGACCTTTTCATTCACCCCACACTGCACATGTCATCATTCAGGTCACCCAGGAACCCATTCCCTACTGAGCCAATCCAGAGGCGATCACCTGGGGCCCATCCTACAGATTGTGACCTGATGTGCAGTACGCTTTATGTATCCAATTATTTATCGACCATGCCCTACAAGCTTCTCGACGTGATTATAAATACTATAAAATACAAGAAATACTCCATTGGGTTCTGGAAAAACAAATACAGTGTAACCTGCCCGGCCCCTGAAAGTGTGGGACCCCTGTGTTTTCAGACAATGGAGAATGATAGCAAAGATGCTACATTTCTTTGTGCAGTTCTGGTATTAACTTTTTTTTTCACACTGAGTGGTTAAGAAATGGTTTCTTAATCTTAAAAGACCATCGTCCTCTTTAGAATCCATGGCACAATGTATGCACCCCAAGCAAAACTGACTGATCATATAGGCTGGACCAACATGACAATATGGATAATTGCTCTTTTGGGAGTCACTGATGAGCACATGATACAATGTACTTGAGCTGACGTAATGATCTGTATAGGATGGTTCTCCCTCCCTTGGTCAATCCGGTTACCTCCTTGCCGCTGTCTGTGTGGATGCAGTTCTTGTCTGGATTAAGTTCACACACTTTCGCCTTGATCCATTCCACCCCAGCTGGGATCACACTCGCGGTGGGACGGCCAGAGGAGGATAACGGTTTGGCACCAGCCCCCACCAGCGTCCAGATGGGCTGATAGAAATGCCTCTGAGAAACAAAGTATTCAGAGATTCCTTTCAAATTGAGGCTGATAAAAATGTCATAGATAAAAGACACATGAGCTAGACTTCCTCAATTACTCCCTTCTGAACCTCGAAATATGTCATTAAAAAGTCCCCAGAAGGTTAGTTTCCCCACATACATATATACACATATTGTTAGCGTATTTGTATGCCAAGGTAAAAAGAAACTTAAGCTCAGTGGCCTAAACATGGCTGCTCAGAAGCATGTAGAGACTGTGATAAGTCTGGGAAGTGTCCAGCCACTTCTAAACAGCCTCCTAACTTCATTCATTTCCACTGTATTTCCCAAGACCACGGAGATTTGCACACACTCCCTATTAGTCAGCCCCATTTTTATGCGTGAATCCACAATCAATGTTTGGGGAAGCAGTAGTCAAGAAAGTAAAGGATATATTGCATTGGAGAATCTGCTGCACAAGACCTCTTTAAAACGTTGAAGAACGACAATGTTGCTTTGAGCCCTAAGAAGCACATGA